AATCATCTAATTTTGATGTAACTTCCGTAATTCAGTTTTTGCAAAATAATCAATTTGCACAAACATCGCAATTCGTCCATAAAAGAGCATCTTTTTTTTCTGCCTATTTTCTTTAGTCTAATGCAACATTTTTTTCTTGTGTGTTTCTTTTGAGCAACGGTTAAATCTAAAAGAAACGGAAACAAAAGTGCCATTTTTGTTTCAAGAAAGAAATAAAAAAATTTGTTTATGGATCGATTTATTGGAAGGAGAAGAAAACACTATTTAGTATTTATTTTTTCCTTCAGTATTTTGTTTTACGTTGTTATGTTGCTGATGCTGTTGCTGGTGCTAGTGCTGATGGTGCTTCTAGTACTACTGATGTTCAGTTACTGATACTGCTGCCGGTGCTGTTGCTGATGCTAGTGGCAGTTATAATTTGTAAAAAGCTTTTCAATAGGGGACAATTTGTTGCAATGAAACATTCGACTGGAGCCGTCTCTTAAAATTTTTTCTGCGTTTTCATATAAGGGTCTGTTGTTGCTGTTTTGTTGGTAGTGATGGTGGTGATAGTGATGGTAATGGTTGTAGTGTTGTTGGCGTTGTCAACTATTTTGAAATTAATGAGGGAAAGTTGTGGTAGAAAAAGAAAAGAGGAAAGGGTTTTTTTCTGTTTTCACTTGTGGAGTTGGAGCAAAAGCGAAAAAAAAAATTGGAATGGATAATCAAACAGCCTTACAATGGATAATGATGGCAGAGAAGCGTTGATTTGATTGCTTTTGTTTTTTTTTTTTTTTTTATCCTTCAAATCCACTGTTGAGGGATAAAATTTACCGATCCATTCAAACATTTAGCAAAAGCATTCTTTCCTCTCCCACTTTTTTTCCTCTTTTTTCTTCTTTTTTTGTTATGCGTTATTTTTGGTGCAAAGGAAAATGATGAAATGAGAATATTGACGTTTGGCTTGTTGTAATTTTAGCATTAATTCCCATCTGGGGAAGAAAATGCGGCAATAGCGAAATTGAACTTCAATTTTTTTTTTTTTGCAAATAGCGTCTTCCTTATCCATTCTTGATTTTGACAAGCACTGTCTATTTATGTATGTATGTGTTTGTGTTATTGTTCCTGAGTGAGTAAGTTAGTTAGTGTTTACGTATTGTTCCTTGAGTCAATCATCAGTAGTCTCAGTAGTGCACAACCGTATAACATAATCACACGTCGATATGTGAAAGCCAAGAAAGCACACTGTATTATTAATAAAGATACCCGGTCCCTCTAATTAAATTATCGTTTTTAAGATCGATATCCATTAAAATCTTATTAACAATAAACATAAAGGGTTGGTTATTGTCAATTATGCCCAGTCTTATTTGTCTTCCCTCGATGTCTTCTCTTTATGTCTTTCTTTCTTCAATCTTCCTTGGTGTCAATATGCATCCCACCAATTCCAATTTTCCCCACTGATTATTGTGAATTAAGCACGAAAAAAAAAAAAAAAA